AATGATTTTAATTTTAATTTATTTTTAAGATTTAGTTTATAATAAAATACAATTAACCTATTTAAAATAAAATGTGTAAAGTATATTTTAGTGTAATAATTAATATAAAGTATAATTATTAAACTATCGTATACTTAAAATGGCGAAGCTAATTCAACATGATAATTGTTTTAAAGTGCTATTTAATCAAATTTCTACACTTGGTCGTGGAAGTTTTGGAAAAGTATATAAAGCTAAACTAAAATCTGACGACAATATATATGCGGTTAAAAGAATCAAATTTAAGGGTAAATGTAATTTATAATATTCATATACTATATACTATTCAATATTAATTAAAATACATATATTTAATAAAACTTAAACAAATCATAGCTTTTAATGAAGAGAACAAAACTCGAGTTTTAAAAGAAGTGAAAATATTGTCAAAATTGGACCCAAATTTTGTAGTAAAATATTACAACTCGTGGTTTGAATACTTCTATCACTACTATCTGTACATTCAGATGGAGTACTGCTCGCAAACATTGCGCGCAATACTTAAAGACAAACCGCGAGCCTTTGGGAGACAAGTGGCCGAACCTATGAATATTTACGAATATTTTATATCGTGCGAAATATTTCGGGAACTCTTACAATGCTTGCAATACCTTCACATTACTGCAGCAATAATTCATCGCGATATTAAACCCGAAAACATCTTAATCTCGGTCAATCATCCAAACAATGTGTTCGTTAAGCTAGGTGACTTTGGCTTGGCCATCGAGCACGACAATGAGTCCCAGACCCATAGCCTGGGTGTGGGGACACCAAAATATATGGCCCTCGAAATGATTACGTCGGGTGTCTATGATTTTAAGATAGATGTCTATAGTATGGGAATCATTGCATTTGAATTGTTTGAAATAGTGTATGTAATAGATATATTATTGAAATGTGCTATAAAAGTTTACAATTAATATCAAATTAATTAAATTAACAATTTAATTATAGAGTTCAAATTAATATAATTAAATTGATGTTTAATATTTGTTAGTGTAAACCTTTCAGACAAATACGGATCATGTTCATTTTTGGCCAATTTTAACACATTGTCTGACATTATCTGGTCAATGATTGAGGCAAAGCACACAAAACGACCGACAAGTTCTGAAGTACTCGAGAACTATAACAAATGGCAAATTAATAAAACTATAATTATGTTAAATAAACAGGAATTATACGAAACAATTAATTGCCTGAAATCTAATGATAACAAGTTTTTTCATGACTTTTTATTATCAAAAACAATATGATCTAAATGTGTTAATGTGCTAATGTTATAATGTACTTTGTTGTAATTATTAATTAATGTTGATATTTAAATAAATTACTATTCAATATTAATACTGTTATTGCAAATAATAATATTTAATTAATGTGATAAAATAATAATACTTTTATTGCCCTTAGGTTATTATGTTGCTAATATGATTAAACTCAAATTAAATAAAAGATATAAGATATAATTAAAAGTGAGTATCTATTAATTGAACTGTATATACTACGAGAATTGTGTACATAAATTACGCAAATGTACGTCACAAATTACTTCACGTAAAATTCACAAAAATTTATCACCAAGGTTTTACTTAATTATTCTCTATAATTATTTTTCATATCGAGGGGGGGGGGTAGAAATGGAATTGCAATTTTATAAAATATATTATATTTTGAAATTTTTCTTAACAATATGACTTATTTTTACACTTAAATATATAATTAATTGTTGGAAATTGTGTTATGATTACAATATAAAATTAATATAAGGTCAGTATATTTATTCCTTTACTTATATTTAAAATGTAAAAAACTATTATCTATCATTTACTTCTTATTAATATTCCGTTGTAGATAACACCGTTGTAATTTAAACAAGGTTCACACACTATATTATAGCTTAACCACACTTCGGTTGATGCTCAAAGAGTCTCATAGAATTAACACTACCCATTGAATTAGCATTAGTCCTATAGGATAATATTTGCTTCATGATAAATTCTAACCATAGACTTAAACTGTAATTCTATGTTAAATCTTATAGAGCGGAGGAGAGGATTACAGAACGATCATATAAACAACGTTCAAAATATATGAATTGTGGTTAAAAATTAACGCATTAGTAATGCGACATTACTATTTAAGTAAATATCATGTGAATTGTTTGAATGGCATTTATAATTCATACTATACCTTAGCTATAGTTATTATCACATAATGTATAAAAATACTTGCCATTATATCCACGTTTCCGATGGTTTTCACTGATTATTGCAATTTCTATTATTAGTTGTAATTTTGCTGTCGATAACGACATTTTGAATATTTATACGTTAGTATATGATTAATAACCGCCTAAAAAATTTATATTAAATATCTATTTTATTTTGTGTATTAAATTTATTGTAAATTTTTAAATATGAGTAAACTCTTAAATAAGTTTTCAATTTGTGATAATATTCCTACAAATATCAGGAATAATATATTAAAATTGCATGTTTTCTATGATTGGAGGGAAGGTTTTAATGTATTATTTGTTACAAACGATGATCTGGTCTACGGTTTTGGCAATAATATGGACGGATGTCTGGGTTTGGGGCAAAACAGACCAATACTATCACCACAACTGATACCACAATTATGTCATCAAAACATACTATACTTTGTCAATGGATTGAATTTTGTGTTCGCTGTCAATAATAGGAACAGTATATATGGTTTTGGGAACAATATATGGGGTCAAGTGGCTCGCTATGATCAAATTGGCCATGATTGTTTAGAGCCACAGATTGTATCATATTTTGATGACAAACCTATCGTACAAATTAGTTGTGGATACTTTCATACATTAATTTTGACCAGTGATGGCCGGGTGTATGCCTGGGGCGGCAATGGTTTTGGGCAAATTGGTTGCGGATATAATAGTGAATATATTCCGACACCATTTGAGGTACAATTCAATTATAACTACAAAATAAAATCAATTTATTGTTGTTATGGCTTGTCGTTTGCCATCACATCCGACGGACGTGTCTTCAGTTGGGGCGACAATAGAGGCCATGAATTGGGACACAATATGACTGATAACCGAGTATTTAAACCCCGATTAATTCAATCAATACGTAACGTGAAAACAATGAATTGTAGTATTTATGGCACATATTTCTCGACATCCAATGGATTATATTTTTGTGGAAAATATTATTTAAATAATAATTATTCACCGAAAAAAATTCCGATACGAATACTAGGAACTAATCGTTTTGAAAATTTACAACAAATTTACTCAATTCTCACGAATAGAATAGAATTTATGTGTGTTTTAATGAATGATAAAATTTATAAAATATCAAATGAACATAAATTAATTGAAACAAATTATAATAATTTTGCCGACTTTTACGCTAATGATTACCAAATAACTTACAATACAATTAATTTAAAAGAACCAAACGAGGTGACCAAATTTAATAAAACGCCTGATGCATTAGTAACTAAAACTAAGCGTGAAAGTCAAATAATTTCAGTTAATCAACCAAGTAATTATATTAAAAATACAAGCCGTAAACGTACTAGCAATAGAGCCATATTTAATAAAAGTATAATCAATAAAAATTATGACAACGCGGGACTGTTGATGTTGGCAGCAAAACATGAATATGGTGATTATGATATATTTGAATCGATTGAACGGGTAATTAGTACAATCATTTATTTTAATACAGCATAATTATTAATAACATGTTCTTATTTTATTCGCACAGAAAAAGGAGAGGCATTTTAATTATTGGCAAACTTTAAAAGAAAAGATGATATATTTAATAGTGTTGCTCATTATAGTTTTAGCTATAGTTTTAATAGTAATTGATTATAATAAATTTATTCAACATGATTATAATCCCGTTAATGAGCAAAACAGTGCAAAATAGTGAAACTATGTTATGTGTCACTTATTTACTCAATTAATTATTTAATAATGTTTAGAATATAATTAAATTAAATATGTAAATTTATAATGAAATTTTATATAAAATTTATATTTCATTTGTGACGCGCAGTCGCAGTACGCAAAGCACACCATTACTCTCTCCCACTCGACATCCGTTTTCACCCTTTAGTCGTTCGCCTGCCGTCGAGTCAAACACTACATAACGACACGCTTTCGTTATTTTTCCGTACATTTCGTGTATTTTCGATATAAACGTTAAATAAAACCAATTTATTTTGATTTAATACACGTTCCCGTTATTTGTTACGAGTAATCGCTAACACATTTATTTGTGAAATTAATTCATTAGAATTTTAAATTATATTTAAAATAAGTTAACCCTATTTTCACTACCATAATGTTACGGTCAAACACTGCCCACAATTACACACATAGTGTACACATTTTCCCAGAATAAACTGAACATCAAATATGACCCAATTGTTACTCTATTTAAGTCCCAGACTTACAACACATACAGACAGTCAATACAGAGTGAATACAAAAATGTAAATCACATTAAAATACACACGATTTGTGTGTTTCGCACTATTTAAAATATTGCAGATTATTGCAGAAATTTAAAATAAAATTTCATTTTTTAAAACAAAAGTTTTAAATTAATTAATTAAAAGTTATAAAAAGTTACAAATAATTAATAATAAATTCACAAATTATGACATTTTTGTTGTTGCGATAGTAAAACCTCTATATAATGAACACAAAACTATTTCTAATAAATAATAAACAATTGCGTGAATAATGTACAGAAAAAACAACACAATTCACTCAATGATACAATCACTGCATACAAACATCTGTCGCTATGATAAACACAAATCTAATTATGTAATTAACCGCTAAACTATCAACATAAAACTTATAATAAGTTACTAATTAAATTATAAATAAAATAAACTAATAAACCTATTATTTCTCTCCCACCCTAACCCCCACCCCCTCTACACCGGCACCTATAGGCAAGTCCTTTATGCTGAACTTTTTCCTGCGATACCTGCAGTCCGGTTGCGGCACAACCGATGACTGGCTCGGCTCGACTGACACCCCACTGAAGGGGTTCTCGTGGAGGGGCGGCAGTGAGAGGGACACCACTGGTATACTGATGTGGTCGGAGCCGTTTGTCATCAAACTGGATGACGGCCAGGAGGTGGCCATCGTTTTGATGGACACTCAGGGGGCGTTTGACTCGGAGTACACGGTCAGGGACTCGGCCACTGTGTTCGCGCTGTCCACTATGACCTCATCTATACAGGGTATGTATTTTTTATTGTACATTTTAAGAGTAAAATTCTGTGACAACTAGTTTGTTGGTCACTCTATAGCCGCCCCGTGTGGTCACTCTATATATACATGTTGTGTGAACACAAGCACTGATTTTTGTGTTTTGTTTGTTAAACAATTTGATTGTTTAATATTAATCAATGGTTTTTCTCCCAAACAAACAATGTCTTTGTGTTTTACATACAATTTAATTGAGTATTAAATGGTTTTTCTCACGTATTATTGTCTCTCTCAGTGTGCAATCTGATGCACAATCTCCAGGAGGACAACCTCCAGGTGTTGGAGATATTCACCGAAAACGGCCGACTGGCGCTCGAGGCCACCGACGAGAAGCCGTTCCAGAAACTACTGTTTCTCATACGGGACTGGAGTTTCCCATACGAACACCCGTACGGTCTGACCGGCGGTCAGAGCCTACTCGAGAAGAAGTTGGCCATTAAGGACAACCAACCGACGCAACTGCAACGCGTCCGGCGCCACATTCGCTCGTGTTTTAGCGATATTGGCTGCTATTTGATGCCACATCCGGGCAACAAAGTGTCCACTAATCCACGCTTTGACGGCCGAGTGGCCAATATTGACGGCGAGTTTGTCGACTATCTCAAGACGTTTGTGCCGCTAATGTTGGACCCGAAGAATGTGGTGGTGAAGGAGATTGGCGGCCGTCAGGTCACCGGCAAACAGTTGATGGAGTACTTCAAAGTGTATATCAATGTGTTTGCAGGTAATGTCAATACCATACTTACCATATGTAATGAACTAATCACTCAACACTTCCCACACAACAGGCGAAACAATGCCCGAACCCAAGTCTATGCTGGAAGCGACAGCCGAGGCCAACAACCTGACCGCAGTGGCCACAGTCAAAGACACGTACGTGGCCTCCATGGAGGACATCTGCGGCGGCGAACGGCCGTTCATTAGTTTGCCCGAGTAGTGGTCTTTACTGTTATAGACTATAACTTATAGTGTATGCAAACATAGGGTTTATAGTGTATTGTATGTGTTTTTAAATAGTTTTAACCGTTTAGTACAGTATTTCCCGCTTATAATGAGTTTTCATTAACAACAAGTGTTTGTAATGGGAATTAATTATAATATAAATTAATAGCTTTTATTAACCGTTAATTAACGCCTAAATTATTATTATTTACCCTATTGTTTGCTACACTATTGCGGTTCAATATAACAAAGTTTATTATGTATTAAATAATTGTATTAATTAATTGTATGTTTGTATTGTATAAATCATTTTTTCTGTGAATTTTTATTATATAAAACAAATATTTGGTAATAATAAAGATATGAGATATTTATTAATCATAAGGCTCGTTCAGGTAGTTATTGAGATGCAAATATTTATTACATAACAATGGATAAAATGCGTTTCAAGTGCTGATATACAGATGATATCTGTATTATGTTATTAACATGAATAATAAATAAAATATTTATGCTTACTTGTTAGTATTTTGCAAAGAATAAACACTTATAATTTTATTATCACCATAAAAATAATTGCAGCAATCAGATATTTTTGATGGTTAGTTATTATCACACAAAAACTAAATGGTATATAAACAGGACGCATTTTGTTTAGTTTTTGTTAATTATAATTGTAACATAAAATTATAATACTATATTATATAAATATTACAAAGTTTTAAACCATGTGCAAAATAAACCAACATTCAATTTGTGCTAATATACCAAAAAATATTAAAGAAAATTTATTAAAATTACATATTTTCTATGATCAACGGGAATGTTATAATGTGTTATTCATTACAAACGATGATCTTGTCTACGGTTTTGGCAATAATATGGACGGCTGTCTGGGCTTTGAACACAACAGACCCGTACTATCACCACAACTGGTCCCAGAATTATGTCACAAAAACATACAATACTTTGTCAATGGATTGAATTTTGTATTAGCTGTGAATGATAAGAATATAATATATGGTTTTGGGAATAATATATGGGGACAATTGGCGCGATTCACTAAAATTGGCCATGATTGTCTTAAACCAGAGGTGATTACATACTTTGAAGGTAAACCTATTCAATCAATTACCTGTGGTTATGCCCACACACTTGTGCTGATAAGTGATGGCCGGGTGTATGTCTGGGGCGGCAATGGTTTTGGACAAATTGGTTGCGGAGATAATACTGAATATATTTCGACACCAATTAAGTTGCAATTCATTAATAATTATAAAATACAATCTATTTATTGTTGTTATAACTCCTCGTTTGCCATCACATCCGACGGACATGTGTTCAGTTGGGGCGACAATAGGGGCCATGAATTGGGACACAATATAACTGATAAAATAGTATTTAAACCCTGATTGATATCTACGTTAAATAATGTAAGAAAAATATGTTACAATATTTATGGCACATATTTTTTGACATCTAATGGATTATATTATTGTGGAAAGGTTACTAGCTTAAAAAATAAAATAAATATAATAAGCCCAAAACAAATTCTAGCACGACATTGTTACCAAGATTTACAGCAATTTAACTCACATTTTATGAATAGAATTGAATTTATTTGTGTTTTAATAAACAATAAAATCTATAAAATATCAAATGAACACAAATTAATTAAAACACATTATAATAATTTCACCAACTTTTTCGCCAACGAATATCAGATAACATATAATACAACTAATTTAAAATTATTAAACCACATGGATGAGGGTATTATTTAAAAACAATTTTAGGACGCTTTTCTAAGGTTCAGGTATTTTTTATTTCATATATTATGTTTTAATAATTTTAAAACAATTTATTAATTTATGTTTTTATAGATTCTGTTAAATACAATATTGGTAACTATTGGGTTATTCACAACCTTTCTCAAAGTTGCTTACTTCTTGAGAAACCTGAGTTATCACTAATACTGAAAGTAATGGTAACAATTAAACCAATTGTTTAAGATGTCGGCTATAGGTTCGGGTGGTTTTGTTTTGGACAATATTTAAAGCATATAATAGCAGAAAGGTGGCGAAATTGTTTTTAATAAAACATATATTGAATCATCAAGATATCTTGTCATTAATGATTCAGAATAACTAGCAAATTACTGTTTTATATTAATTATGTGCCCATGTTTGCAATACTATTAAAGTTGTTATACATTTGAATCATTAAACCCTTGTTAAAATTAATATACACCAGTAAATGGCAGCTTCCAAAAAAAAAAGCTTTCAAAAAAAATTTTGAACTAAACATTATTTTTGTTATATTATGTTATATTTTTAAACATTAATCACAAATGCAATTACATTTTGTTTACAAAAATATTACCCATAAATTAATAAATAAATGCAACCCACCACACTTTTTTTCATAACGACATATTTGAATGCATTATGAAACTAATAAATTGATTATAAAGTCTGTTGCCCTAAAATGCGGGCAAATGCACAGATATGCACTCATTGACAGACTATGATATACACTATATCAGTCATGAACAATTATAACAGGCTTAACCTTTTTATTAAACTTTACATTAGACATGCAACTAAATTTCCCTTTTCCCTCTTCCCTACAGGGATTCCCTTTTCCCTTAAGGGAAAAAGAGGGAAAGGGAATGAAAAATGTGTGAAGAGGGAAAAGAAGGGAATCCCTTATACACAAAGAGGGAATCCCTTATACAAAATTTCCCTCTTTTTCCCTTTAATTTTCTGGAATTTAAAAATAGTTTTTATAACAAAATATGTATTAAAAGAATTGAAATATGTAAGATATTGTTTTTGAAACAATATGACATATTGTAAATACAATGCATTGTATTTTAGTGAAAAAACGCTATAATATCATTATTTGCTGTGATTTTTAAAGGAAAAAGAGGGAAAAATAATTAAGAGGAAAAATAAGGAAACAAGGATCACACAGCGATGCTATACGTTAACCACGATTCGGGTATTGCTGAATGAATAGATTAGCATTATATACAGATTTAATACGAGTCCATAGGATTACCACTCCCCATAGACTTAGCATTGTCCATAGACTTAGCATTATTCATAGACTTAGCATTAGTCCCATAGAACTAACATTACTCATAGATTTAGTATTGTCCATGATAAGCCTATGTCGTAGACTTAAGCTGTAATCCCATAGAAACCCATGTTAAAGCATTTTTCCATAGACTTAACATTAGTCTCATAGGATTAACATGGAGAAATACTACCTTTTCCCTTCATATTTCGCATTCCCATAGGAAATTTT